AATTTTGTCTAACTCCCTGAATTAGTAAAAATTTGGGCAGCACTCCCTCTAGAAAATGAGACTTTCCATATTTATACTAATCCATATATGGAAAAGACAAGCTGAACTCTGACAAGTCAAAAGTTGACTCACTTCTTGGATTTGTAGAAATTTCGGCAGCGCTTCCCGTAGGAAAAGTAGCTTGCCAAGATTTATACAAAGCCAAGTATAAGAAAAGATCTCAGAAAATGCAGGAATTGCCCTAAGTAAAAAAAACGTTATTTACAGAAAATGCAGGACTTAACACTAACTCCTATGACTCTAGCACGTGGCGAGCAACTACAACAACTACCTATAGTAATGAAACCCAAACAACACTAGTCATCCCATCCAGTCACATGCAAACCAAACCAGAAATGTAAGTACTCTCACCACCCCAAGTTTATTCCATATAGATAGTTCATGAATCTTCAAGTTCCTGAATCCTTATACCCATCTTACATAAGACATAGAGCTGGACCATTCGCCATGGAAATAATGCCCAGCTTGTCTTCATGATATACACGAACATGTGGCACAACTACTTTTTTCTTCTTTTGGGTGGATGACCAAGCCATTCGCCATGGAAACAATGCCTAGTCGCCCTGAGCTGTTTAATATCCAAAGATTTTAATATTTCTGTGACTTTGATAAACAGAAAAGACAAATATGAGCAGGGGACTGAACCATTCATAGTAGAAACGATGTTCAACTTGCCCCAAACTATTTCCATTTATATTCTGCATTTTCTCTTCTCTCTTCTTAATGATATGGCTTAACGCTGGACCATTCTCAGTAGAAACAATGCCCAACTGCCAGTTCACATGCAAATATACATAAAGTATTTTCCTTTATACTTAGTTTAATTTATGTGCGTGGTTTTCAGGCTAAACCATTCACCATGGAAACAATGCTTAGCCTTAGACCAAAAATCCTCCCTCAGAATAAACAAGAATTTAAACCCCTTCAATCAGACAACCCCCAGAGTTAACTATAGCAACCAGGCCATTCACCGTGGAAACAATGCCTGGTCCCCCAGAAAACAACTAAATAAACACAGCAACCAGGCCGTTCACCATGGAAACAATGCCTGGTCCTTCAGAAAACAGTCAAATAAACACAGCCCTGAGCCATTCACCATGGAAACACTGCTCAGGCTTTGGTTGACCCTTCCAAACACATGCAAAACTACCTGCCTCCCACCTTCCCCCCAGTTTATCCATTTGTTTGCTTTCAGTCAGAATAAAGAAGGAACTTGAACTTCACTCTCACACATTCTTTCCCTTTAGTCTGATTATATCTTGAAGAGAAAGCAAAAACCATAGGGACAAACTTATGCATACATCAATCATACTGCAGGGAGATAGACAAACATGGGTAGTAGTGGATTACAAAGATAACGATGATTTATCTGAAGGTTCCCTGCCTTCAGAACCTCGCCTAGGTTCCGGCAGAGCTCCCGCAATCGGTGGGTGAACTCCCCACAGAGTCTTGACGCGGTCCTACGGGTTGCAATCCTGTCTGCTGCCTTCCCCTCAGAACCAGGACTAGACTGAGAGTTAGAACGAATAGAAATAGAAGGTAGAGACTCTCATATCCAAGAATGGTGCTCTCAGTCTCGCAAGGGAGGGCCTTGTAATCTTGGAGCGTCTGAGGGCCCCGCAATGGCAGCCAGTGTAACAGCTGGGTCAAACTGGATTCAACTGCTGAACTCAACCTCCTGACGACTTCCCAAATCGCAGCACCAACCCCCTACCTGTCCAGCCTGACCACCTGTCCAAGTCTGATCGCACCACATAGAGGCCGGTAGCGGTTGGTAATAGCCGGCGATAGCGTGTCGCAACATGAGGCGATCATTAGCAAGTGGTAGTAACGGTTTTGTTCGCAGTTTGCAGCTGCGTTCAGTGCACAACCGCCAGCAACCTGTGACAGCTCACGCACAGCCAACCACAGCAACAACTGGTTGTGCCCAGCCAATCAATCCCATTCGCAGCTCGTGCGGCTGGCAACAACTAGCAGCAAGAACGCAGCACCATCCACAGGCACAGCAACAGTCCACCACACTACGCAACAATAGCCATGGCACACAGTCAACGATATCAGTCCTGCCACGACACACACAATAACGCCAGTCCGTGTGCGCAGTCAGTCCGCACCAGCGCTGCCATAGTCGGCCCAGCCATTACGCCCTCCAGATATCCTAAAGGGCAGCGCGACTGACCCATAAGCAAACCCCCTTCTGTCTCGTAGCTGAACTCCAGCCACTCCAACCCGCAGGTTGAGCTCAGCGTCAGACACGGGTGGGCTCCCACAGGTTGCGGGGCACGCCGGTCAATCTTCAAG